CAGCAGCTGGAGTACGGCAGGTAACTTACGCCAGCCAATCAGATGATTCCATATAGAATATCACTCTCTGGTTGGTGATTTAAAGAGGCAAGGGCAACTGAGAAATTATTGGTGGCAGCACACAGACAGTCTGGCAGCTACAGGATCACAGATGTCCAGTGGCTGTGGTGTCGATATTGCCCAGGAAATTGTCATAACTAGATGACTGGCTGTGGCTCCAACTGCCTGCTCACCCTGGGTCCTGGCCTATTTTCAAAGCCTGGTTCTACAATGGTTCTGTAAATTACATGTTATTCTTTCAGAACATTTCTTTCTTCCTTAAGCTAAACACCGTGGGTTTTCTGGCACTTAAAATCAAAAACCTTGACTGATTTAAGTATACATACATATATGTATATTTGCTCTCTATATATACATTCTCTCTTTCCCCCTCATTTATATGGGAATCTAAAGCATGAAATGAAGTTACCTGTATAAGTCAAAAAGTATTGGGGTGTCTTAGGGGAGCCTGTGGGTGTGGAAGCAGAGGGTTGGAAATCAATTGTTATTCAAGTTATAACTGCCGATTGTGACTAAAACCATTGTGAAATATGAAAAACATCCACATTTCCCTGTGTAACAAAGATGACTTGGAGATACATGAGATTATTTTAGGTGGAGCGCCCACATGGCATTAAATAATACTGAATCACACAGTAAGAAAGTGATTTTTTTCCTATTGTTCTTTGATCCTGATACTACCAAGGACACATGTTGGATTGTTATCCCTTTAATACTTCTCAACACTTCCTACTCTTCCTTTTTAACATAGAGAAGGCAGCCTTAGGCTCTCAGTGCATTCATAGACAATAGTCTCTTGCTAGGATTTAATTACATTTTTGTTTTTGCTATGTTTAGTTTTCTGGTTACCTCCTATTTATAGAAAACCATGCTGATTTTCCACTTACTGTTGTGATATAAACTTTCCTAAACAAGCTTCTTTCAGTTAATGAAGTGAAACAACTTAAAAATACTCAGTAAATAATAGCACAGGTAGAACACAGGGCTAAAATCCCAAAGATGATAAATGGTTGTCTATAGTTTAGAAAACACTAGGATAGTCCATCAGTTGGAGCCACAGATGCAGAATGCAAACCACTAAAAACAGAATCTGTTTCAGAGCAGCGACAACAACTTCTTCAGAAACGCTCTGAAGGCACACAAGTGTGTGGTGGACAAACCATTTACTTCCTTGAAGCCCAAGATCCCTGACAGCAGCGGGTTTAGAGGAGGTGGAGGTGGCAATTATTGCCATCGTGAAACTGAAAGCAGGTAGGTTAAAAGGACAAGGCAAGGTATGTCAGCAAGTTCTTGAGGAAGAAGCCGCACAAATCCAGAATGGCCCTCAATCCCTATCTGTCATTCAGAGAAGGGATGATCGTCTACTTCATGGAGGCAACAAATGGCAACTTTCTGAATGAGAGAGAGTAACGGGTCAATCTTGCTATCCTTGGTTTTGAGGTAATATGATCTACAATTATATGCCAACATTTAAATTTTAATTTTATTCTCTTGCTTCATTTAAGTTCCCTTAAATCAGTAATTCTCAATTGCAGAGAGTAATTTTTTTCAGACTACCTGCATATCAAAGATTCTAGAATGTTTGATGGGGATTGGGGTAGGGATATCAGCTCTTTTTCACCTTTGACCCAGTTAAAGCCATTGTGATAACGAAAGTGTATCGTGCCCCTCTAGAGGGGGGAAGTGAGGAAAAGATTCAGAACCACTTCTTCAGTGACAGCCACAAACTGTAACTATTTATCTCCTACCCAACCATAAGACCATGGGGCAGGTGTATGGGTAGTACAGCAAGAGTTCTGTTTACCTTTCAGCACCATAATATATGGGTAGAAGATAAGGCTTAGGAAGAATTGTTTTCAGCACCATAATAATTTGTAAAATGGCTAAGCAGTGGTTATTTAGCATTTTGATGAAGGTTGCAGAAATAATGCAAACAACTCTGCAAGAACAAAAGAGCTTACATTTTAATCAACGAAGGCTCTTCAAAAACTTTAAAAAGAAGCACATTCTGAATAATATAAGACTTATGAGAGAACATGTCTTGGCAATGAATCTTATGTCATTTAAGTAGATTCAGAAAAGGGGTTACCATCCAGAATAGCATTTTAATGACAAAGATCTGGTTTCTTTCAGCAAGGAATGCTTCTATAACTTAGATACAGTCCTCTTTTTCTCTCTCCCTTCCACCCTCTCTTTCTTCCTTCCTGCCCTTCTTTTCTTTCCCTATTGATTTCCTATTTTTTGAGTTCTTGCATCCGACCAATAGCCTCCGGGGTTATCCATAGTTTACTGGATGTCACTGGTTTTCAAACTTCTTTCTCCAAAGTCTATGACCACAAAGGAGAAATCTGGTAGGGTGAGATCCACTTTCATCTGAGGGTGGTAGTTTAAGGGTGCAGGCTCTGTAGTTAATGATGTACTAATTCAAATCCTGGCTCTACCACTTACACGCTGTGCAACATTGAGCAAATCACTTCATTTGTGTGTGTGTGTGTGTGTGTGTGTGTCTGTGTGTGTATGTGTGCCTCAGTGTTCTCATCTATGAAATGAGGATAATGAAATCACCCACTTAATTGGATTTGATGAAGATTGAATGGGTGAGTTTCTGCAAAGTGCTAAGAACAGGGACCCACATAAATAAGCACAATATAATTGTTAGCTTTACATATTTGACTCCTCCCAGAAGCTTTGCTTTGACAAGAGGTCTACTGCCACAAAAGATTTGAAAGTCACTTTCCTACTGTCACAGATGGTTGTAGTCATTGTTCAAATGAACATGCCCATACTTTTCCCCATACTTCTCATCAATTTTCTCTTCCCCATCTCAGGATAACTTTATTCATCAGAATGTAGTAATTCACTCCCTGTTATTCTCAAAGTCTCATCTTCCTTGATGCTGTTTTTATCCAATTACTCTTTGTGATCCAGTGGCTTCCCTCAGACTATTGTCACCAGCATCATGACATCACCTAGAAAGCACCTAGTTGAAGCCTCTCTTTTACCAAGAAGGAAATTTGGGTCCTTCCAAATAAACTATCTCACACAGTTTCACAGTTAGTGAAAGAGGGATGAAGAGAATGTTGGGTTTTTGACTCATTTTTCATTGCTTTCTCTCCAACATTATCCTTCTCCCTCAACATTTGGTGGAATTTTAAATAGGATGACTCTGAGTTCCTTTGCACCATCAGAACCACATCTCTCTTCATTGACTCTTAAAATTCTGCCACTATTAAAGAAGTCTCTGGAGGAAGTGATGTTTTGGGGCTTCTTTCTTCCCACCATGCAGTGGACAATCTGAAACCAGCATATTCATTTTTCCCTTCATTCACTTATGCTTTTTTTGAGCATCTAAGTAGTTCCAGGTCCTGTGCTGGGTTGGAGGAATTCAGGGTTAAATGACAGGGTCCTTTTTTAGAGGAGCTCATGTCCTGTTTGGGTAGGCATGCAAATAAATAACAAGTTACAGGAAAGCACACAGTGTCTAAGGGATAGGGTTGAATTTATGCACCAAATATAGCTGGGAAGGAGGGCAGCTCCCCTAGCCTGGGGGTCAGGGTCAGGAGAGGCTTCCTGAAGGAATTGACTGGGAATCTGGACCTTGAAGTAAGCATTAGCCAGATGAAGAAAGGGGAAACTATACTTTAGGTAGAGGGGACAGAATGTGGTAGGGAAGGCAAGGGCAGCTGTGACAGCAGGGAACTTTGGGGGAAGTGTCAGCAGTTCTGTTGAGTAGGAGTGGGAAGTCAGAGAAATTATTAATAGGAGCAATGAGGTTTGAAAGACTGGACTAGGTCTTGAAAGATCTTGTAGGTTGTACAAAACAATTTTATTCTGGATGCCATGAGGAACCAGTGTAGAGGTTTAATCAAGAAGATAATAAGAACATAATTTATTCTGTGGTGGCCACATGGAGAATGAAACACTGGAAGTTATTACACTAATTAATTCAGGTGAGTTAAGAAACTAGGGTATCTCGGAGGACAGAAGTAAGTACCTGTGCTGAAATATTTCTCATCTACTGTTGAATGTCCCTATGAGCTAAATTCTTGAGAAAATTTTAAAGTATAACTTCACCCTTTCTTTTCATTTACCTACATTTCCTTTAATAATCTGTACTTTCTTACCTTAACTGAGTTTAACTACTTAGGTTGTTTTACTGTTCTTTCTATTTTTAACCAATCAAGAAAGCCTTTTTTTCCCCTTGGTCTTGTGTACAATTATCCTTTCAATAATCATTGATTTAAAATTCTGTTAAGAAACAGATTGTGTATGTGTGTGTGTACACTCTTATTTAACATCAAGTTTCTAAATTGGTAACATTTAACCTGCAGATAAAAAACATATATATGTTTCATATGTTTAAATTTCATCTGTTTATACCTCTATCATGCCTATTACAAAAGAGGATTCTGTATGCACTATTCCATTGGCAGTTCACATTTGAGTAAGTAACTTACACATTGTATGAACAGTTCATTTTAAAAAGGGCCCCTGATTAAATTGTTGTCAACTCTTCGATGAATCAAGAGAACTGCTAAAATGATTTCCTATCTAGAAAGACCAAAAGAAGAATTGCCTTTTTTTTTGCGATTTTATTTCCCAAGGGAAGATCAGAAAGGTCAGTTCTTGAATTACTATTAATCTTATTAATATCTCAAGTGAAACAGATTCAGCCAGGGCTTGGAGCAGGCAAAGTGCAGAATAGCAGCTCTTTAGAAAGAACAACTCACTGTCATCTTATACCAAAGTTTTGTTACCTTTTTACGTGTTACAAATAATAAAGGTTTCAGCAAACATATCTTCCCAAGTGTGGGAACGCACACACATGCGCCACCCCCATCCCACTTTGGTCTGTTCTCAAGTTGCTTTTGCGCACTCTGTCCACCTTTCCAGGTGCCCTTGACCTCTGGGTCCTACCCTCTCCTCCCCCGAGTACTCACAGGGTCTGCGTACTGGGCGGTAAGCTGGGGATGCGGTGGATATCCTTGCAGGTGACTCTGAAGTCGTCCTCCTGGTGACACTCGCAGGGTGGAGACAGACACCCCTTTCCCCCCAGGTTCCTGGGCAGGGCGAGCAGCAGCACCAGCTGCAACAGGGACGATGGCCTCATTTTCCACGGGCCCCCAGGGCTATTTCTTCATCTTCCGCAATCACCTCATTCTCAGCCCTCTGCGCCTGGGGATCCTCCAGGCTGAGGGAGACAGGGAGCGGGAGGGGTGAGAGGAGGGAGGACTCGCTCAAAGGGGCTGTGATCTCACCACTGTAGAGGAGGCCGGAGAGGGGTGAAAAGAGGCTCTTAAGTGCTCCGCTTCCCTAGGCAACTCTCCACCCAAACAAACCTCCTTGCTTTATTTACTTTCCTTGGCCGAAGCCACGCAGCCCGCTCCGTCTGTTCCCTGACACCCAACACCGGTCCTGGCTGTCCCCTTTGCTTTCACCCGCCCCACGCGTTCCTCTCATTTGTTCTCTTCAAAGCCTAGTTTACATGTCCTCTCCTTTTCTTCTCTTTAAACCCAAAGAGCCCTCTTTCCCCGTGGGTAGCCTCCTACAAGCGCTGCCTGCCTGGGACCCACCCGCACGCACTCTCTAAGCAGAGAAAGTTCCCGCCGAGTGGACTGTCCCAGGGCGGACCAGTGTCCTGCAGAACTTCAGCTCTTCCTGGCCAAAGATGCCTCTGCTGGGAATTGGAGGCGGGCACGCGGCGCGCGACACCCCTGGCGGCTCCTCGCGGCTCCCCAATTTCTGCGCCCCGCGGCCCCGCTCCGCGCCGGCGGCCACGCTCGCGCAGGAATCGCCGCCAGGAGTCGCCTCGAGGCGCCCGCCACACACTGCAGCCGGCGGACGCCAGGAGGCACGTCGGGACCTGGGCTCTGGGGCCACCTGCTGTGGAGAACCGGGAACGGCAGAAACGCTTCCCTGAATGGATCCGGCCTGGAAATTCTGGTCCGTCCAAGAATTTTACTGAAACGTATTGCCCGCTAGAAGACGGGAAGAAAAAGAATACTTAAATGGCACACCGTCATCTCCTCATCATTCCTGACACAGCAGCCAGACAGATAATTGCAAAGATAAATCAGATCGTGACAATTTCCTTCTTAAAAGTCTTCAATCGCTTATTCCTCTTGGGGTAAAAGGAATATCAACTCCTTACCTACTGTATGATTCCTTTTATATGAACTTCTAGGACAGGGAAAAAAGTTATGGTGATAAAAATCAGAAAATAAAGATTAAAAGGTATTGACTAGAAAAAGACGAGGGAATTAAACTCTTAATTACGCTGGAGGTTAAGTGGATGTATAGATTTATCAAAATTCATTGAAATGTACACTTAAAATATGTGCATTCCAATGTTTATAGAAGCTTTATTCGTAATCACCAAAAACTGAAAACAACTCAAATGTTCCTCAAGTAGGTAACGGATGAACAAACGCCGATACATCCACACACATCCACACAATGGAATACTATTCCACAATAAAAATGAATGAACAGCTGATACACACGACATGCACAAATATTGAATCCATAATGTTAAATGAAAGAAGCCAAACTCAAAAATATTATATATTTATAAGTAATTATTCATATTGATGAATTCATTTGTATGATATTCTCAAAAAGGCAAAACTATAGGAACAGGAAACAGATCAATCATTGCAAAGGCCTGGAGTTCAGAGGGGTGGCTGAGTACAAATGAACACCGGAGAACTCTCTAAGTGATGAAATTGCCCTAAATCTTGCTTGTGGTAGTGGTTCCAAGGTGGTTTGTTAATGTGATAAATCATAGTGATCGATTTTTGAATGTTAAACCCACCTTGCATTCCAGGGAAAAACCCTACTTGATCACGGTGTATTTATTATTTTTTTAAATATATTCTTAGATTAGATTTGCTAAAATTCTGTTTAAAAAATTTACATAGATGTTCACAAGGGACAGCAGTCTGTTATTTTCTTTTCTGTAACTTCTTTGTCTAGTTTTGGTACCAGAGTAATTAATTCTTCCATCGCAGGATAAGTTGGGAAATATTCCCTCCTATTCAAATTTCTATGAGAGTCTGTGTAGAATTGGTATTAATTATTTTTCCATGTTCTGTTTCATTGCCATATGCTCTGATTTTTGTCTTCTTTCTTTGTCTACTTTGGGTTTAATTTTTCCTTTTTTTCTCTTAGTTTCTTAAGGCTGAGGTCATTATTTAAGACCATTTTTCTTTTATAATTTTATAGGTGTGTAGTGCTATGGACTTTTCCTGTAAGTACTACTTTAGAGACATCTCACAAGTTGTTTTTTTTTTTTTTTTGAGACAGAGTCTCACCGTGTTGCCCAGGCTAGAGTGCCGTGGAGTCATCCTAGCTCACAGCAACCTCAAACTCCTGGGTTCAAGCAATCCTACTGCCTCAGCCTCCCGAGTAGCTGGGACTACAGGCATGCGCCACCATGCCCGGCTAATTTTTTTTTATGTATATATTTTTAGTTGTCCAATTAATTTCTTTCTAATTTTAGTAGAGACGGGATCTCGCTCTTGCTCAGGCTGGTTTCGGACTCCTGAGCTCAAACAATCCGCCCACCTCGGCCTCCCAGAGAGCTAGGATTACAGGCGTGAGCCACCGCACCCGGCCCCCATCTCACAAGTTTTGATGATTTTATTTTCATTCAGTTTTAAATACTTTTGATTTTTTTCCTTGATTCATGGGCTATTTTAAAGTGTGTTATTTAGTTTCCAAATATTTGGAAAATTTCCAGATATTGTTCTGTTATTGCTTTCTAAATTAATTTCATTGTAGAGAGAGAAAATAGATTGTATGACTTAAAAATTTTAAATTTAGTAAGACTAATTTGATGACTCAGACTATGGTCTGTCTTGGTCCAATGTTCAGTGCATACTTGAAAAAACTGTGCAATCAGCTGTTGTTGAATAGTGTGTTCTGCAAATGTCATTAGGTCAAGTTGGTGATAGTGCTGTTCAAGTCCTCTTTATTTTTGTTGATTCTTCTGTCTACTTGTTATATCAATTATTGAGATATGGATACTGACTTTTTTTTCAACTATAGTTGGGGATTTATCTTTTTCCCATTTCATTTCTCCTCCTCCTCCTTCTCCTTCTTCCTCCTTTTTTGTTTCAGAAGTTTATTTTAGTCTTTAATTTAGTGGAAATTTCCAGATAATACATAACTTTGCTTTTATGTTTATTCTAAGAATAATAAAGAAGTCATCATGCCACATACAGGGTACTTTTAATTATAGTAATGAAATAATTATGCAAGGCTAACTGTATGAACAGTTTAATTTCTGACATTTAGATCTATCCTTTATGAGGTTACCTTGGGTAGATTTAATTATTGATAAGCAAGATAATAAATTTACGTCTACTTATCCTCTTTTTTAAAATTTCAAATATTATGGCGTTACAAATGTTTTTAGTTACATATATCACTTTTTTAATGCTTGAGTCAGGATTATAAGTGTGCCCATCACCTGGATAGTGTCCATTGTACCTGTTAGGTAGGTTTTCGCCCATCCCCTCCTCCTCCCTGCCTCTGCTTGATTTCTACTGAGTTTTTCTTCCCTCTGTGCTCAAGTGTGCTCATTGGTTAGTTCCAATTTAATAGCGAGTACATGTGGCGTTTGTTTTTCCATTCTTTAGATACTTCACATAGGATAATGATCTCCAGTTCCATCCAGATTGTTGTAAAAGGCATTAATTCATCCTTTTTTATGGCTGAGTTGTATTCCATGGTATACATATACCACATTTTGTTAATCTACTCATGAACTGATGGGCACTTGGGTTGATTCCACATCTTTGCAATTGTGAATTGTGCTCAATAAACATTCAAGTGCAGGCGTCTTTTTGATAAAATGACTTCTTTTCCTTTTCCTTCTTTTCCTTTGGGTAAATACCTAGTAGTGTGATTGCTGGATTAAATGGTAGGTCTACTTATAGTTCTTTGAGGAATCTCATACTGTTTTCCATAGAGATTGTACTAATTTGCAGTCCCACCAATAGTGTATATGTGTTCCTTTCTCTCTGTATCTACATCAGCATCTATTGTTTTTGGACTTTTTAATAAAAGTCATTCTAACTGGGGTAAGATGATATCTCACTGTCATTTTAATTTGCATTTCTCTGATGATCAGTGACGTTGAGCATTTTTTCATAGGTTTACTGCCCATTTGTATATCTTCTTTTGACAAACTTCTGTTCATGTCCTTTGCCCATTTTTTTTTTTTTATTTATTCAGGACATGTAATGCATTTGCCCTGCCCAAGCCACTTTTTAATGGGATTGTTTGTTTTTTTTTTCTTGCTCATTTGCTTGAATTCTTTGTAGATTCTGGTTATTAGCCCTTTATAGGATATACACCTTGTGAATATTTTCTCCCATTCTGTGGATTATTTGCTCTGTTGATTATTTCCTTAGCTGTGCAGAAGCTTTTTAATCAAGTTCCATTTATTGATTTTTGTTGTTGCTGAGATTGCCATTGAGTTCTTTTTCATAAATTCTTTGCCTAGGCTGATATCTAGAAGAGTTTTTTCAGCATTTTCTTCTAGAATTCTTATGGTTTCATGTCTTACATTTAAGTCTTTTATCCATTCTGAATTAATTTCTGTGAGTCGTGAGAGATATGGATCCTGTTTCATTCTGCTGTGTGTGGCTATCCAATTTTCCCAGTACTATTTATTGAATAGGGCTTCTTATCCTAAGCATATATTGTTGTCTGCTTTGTCAAAGATTCATTGGCTGTGTGTGGATGGTTTTATATCTGGGTTTTCTGTTCTGTTCCATTGGCCCATGGACACTAATCTAATCCAGTGTAGTTTCCATCTTATAAATCGGATATTCATTTCTAGAAGTTCAATTTGGGGATTTTTTTCTTATATTCTTGTCTGTATGTAACTTTTTGAATTAATTTTCTCACAGTTAGGGAGGCTAGAAGTCTTCAATTAAGATGTTGGTAGGGCCGTGCTCTCTCTGAGGACTCTAGGGGAAGATCCTTCCTTGACTCTTCCTAGGTTCTAGTGGTTACTGGTAATCCTTGACATCCTTTGGCTTGCATTACTGTGTTCTCTCCTCTGTCTTCATTTGGTGTTCTCCTTGTGTGTCTCTTTGTCTCTATGTCCAAATTTCCCTCTTCCTATAAGGACATCAGTCATTGGATTAGGGCCCATGCTAATACAGTATGACCTCAACTCAACTTAAATATCTACAAAGACCCTATTCCAAAATAAGGTCACATTCACAGGTACCAGGTGTTAAAACTTCAAGATATCTTTTTGGGAAACACTATTTAACCTACAACCATGTCCTTGTTTGACAATTCTTATATTTTTGTCAGTTCTGGGTTGGTTTAGATTGGTTGATTTTTCTCCTTAAAATGAATTACACTTTCTGCTTCTTTGCATCCCAATAATCTTTGTTTGAAGGGCAGAC